TTATAAAGAGCAAAAGAGGAGGGCTGCTTATAAAGAGCTAAAGAGGAAGGCTGCTTATAAAGAGCTAAAGAGGAGGCAGCTTATACAGAGCTAAAGAGGAAGGCTGCTTATAAAGAGCAAAAGAGGAGGGCTGCTTATAAAGAGCTAAAGAGGAAGGCTGCTTATAAAGAGCTAAAGAGGAGGGCAGCTTATAAAGAGCTAAAGAGAAGGGCTGCTTATAAAGAGCTAAAGAGGAGGGCTGCTTATAAAGAGCTAAAGAGGAAGGCTGCTTATAAAGAGCTAAAGAGGAGGGCAGCTTATAAAGAGCTAAAGAGAAGGGCTGCCTATAAAGAGCTAAAGAGAAGGGCTGCTTATAAAGAGCTAAAGAGGAAGGCTGCTTATAAAGAGCTAAAGAGGAAGGCTGCTTATAAAGAGCTAAAGAGAAGGGCTGCTTATAAAGAGCTAAAGAGGAGGGCTGCTTATAAAGAGCTAAAGAGGAGGGCAGCTTATAAAGAGCTAAAGAGGAGGGCTGCTTATAAAGAGCTAAAGAGGAAGGCTGCTTATAAAGAGCTAAAGAGGAAGGCTGCTTATAAAGAGCTAAAGAGGAGGGCTGCTTATAAAGAGCTGAAGGGAGGGCTGCTTAAAAGAGCTAAAGAGGAAGGCTGCTTATAAAGAGCTAAAGAGGAGGGCTGCTTATAAAGAGCTAAAGAGGAAGTCTGCTTATAAAGAGCTAAAGAGGAAGGCTGCTTATAAAGAGCTAAAGAGAAGGCTGCTTATAAAGAGCTAAAGAGGAGGGGCTGCTTATAAAGAGCTAGAGGGCTGCTTATAAAGAGCTAAAGAGGAAGGCTGCTTATAAAGAGCTAAAGAGGAGGGCTGCTTATGAGCTAAAGAGGAGGGCTGCTTATAAGAGCTAAAGAGGAAGGCTGCTTATAAAGAGCTAAAGAGGAAGGCTGCTTATAAAGAGCTAAAGAGGAGGGCTGCTTATAAAGAGCTAAAGAGGAGGGCTGCTTATAAAGAGCTAGAGGGCTGCTTATAAAGAGCTAAAGAGGAAGGCTGCTTATAAAGAGCTAAAGAGGAGGGCTGCTTATGAGCTAAAGAGGAGGGCTGCTTATAAAGAGCTAAAGAGGAAGGCTGCTTATAAAGAGCTAAAGAGGAGGGCTGCTTATAAAGAGCTAAAGAGGAGGGCTGCTTATAAAGAGCTAGAGGGCTGCTTATAAAGAGCTAAAGAGGAAGGATGCTTATAAAGAGCTAAATAGGAGGGCTGCTTATAAAGAGCTAAAGAGGAGGACTGCTTATAGAGCTAGAAAGCTGCTTATAAAGAGCTAAAGAGGAAGGCTGCTTATAAAGAGCTAAAGAGGAGGGCTGCTTATAGAGCTAAAGAGGAAGGCTGCTTATAAAGAGCTAAAGAGGAAGGCTGCTTATAAAGAGCTAAAGAGGAGGGCTGCTTATAAAGAGCTAAAGAGGCGGGCTGCTTATAAAGAGCTCAAGAGGAAGTCTGCTTATAAAGAGCTAAAGAGGAAGGCTGCTTATAAAGAGCTAAAGAGGAAGGCGGTTTATAAAGAGCTAAATAGGAGGGCTGCTTATAAAGAGCTAAAGAGTAGGGCTGCTTATAAAGAGCTAAAGAGGAGGGCTGCTTATAAAGAGCTAAAGAGGAAGGCTGCTTATAAAGAGCTAAAGAGGAGGGCTGCTTATAAAGAGCTCAAGAGGAAGGCTGCTTATAAAGAGCTAAAGAGGAAGGCTGCTTATAAAAAGCTAAAGAGGAAGGCTGCTTATAAAAAGCTAAAGAGGAGGGCTGCTTATAAAGAGCTAAAGAGGAGGGTTGCTTATAAAGCGCTAAAGAGGAGGGATGCTTATAAAGAGCTAAAGAGGTGAGCTGCTAATAAAGAGCTAAAGAGGTGGGCTGCTAATAAAGAGCTAAAGAGGAGGGCTGCTTATAAAGAGCTAAAGCGGAAGGCTGCTTATAAAGAGCTAAAGAGGAGGGCTGCTTTTAAAGAGCTAAAGAGGAGGGCAGCTTATAAAGAGCTAAAGAGGTAGGCTGCTTATAAAGAGCTAAAGAGGAAGGCTGATTATAAAGAGCTAAAGAGGAGGGCTGCTTATAAAGAGCTAAAGAGGAAGGCTGCTTATAAAGAGCTAAAGAGGAGGGCTGCTTATAAAGAGCTAAAGAGGAAGGCTGCTTATAAAGAGCTAAAGAGGAAGGCAGCTTATAAAGAGCTAAAGCGGAGGGCTGCTTATAAAGAGCTAAAGAGGAAGGCTATTCAATTGAGCTAGACTTAGGAGTTTTCAAGATAATTGCTTTTAAAATGATGTAAATTTTTTTGAGACAGTCTGTAGATATATGCATTTAAACTTTACTAAAAATATCAATTGAAGCATTTCCGAATCGATTTCATGTAAACACAGCACGGATTTAAATTTTCAAATTATTTGTTACAAACACAATTGCCTCCTGTAACATTTGGTAATTGTTGTTACCCATGTATTCTTTGGTATCGTTTCAAACCTCCCACTGATCAGCAAACCT